ACTTACCATCCAGTTCAAAAAAGGCGTATCCTTTTGAAATCTGATACATAGTTTCGAGCGGCAAGCATTTCATTGTCAAATACCCGACACATTTCCCCCGCTATACTCCTGCGCCTAGTCATGGAGCTGTAAATCTATCGCAGTCATTCGACAGCTAACGTCAAGGAAAATAGGGTCGGTTCAATTTAGGATCATGCTTTGTCTGTGTTCCTGTACAGCAGTTGTCTAATTTCGTATCAGTCTATTACATATTTTTACACATATCTGTACTTCTAGACCAACGTAAGTAACAATGAGTACCCCTTCGTTTACAACAATCAGAAATGTTTAGTTCTCAGGCATGCTGCATGACCACCTTTCTCACTGAGATGTCGTCTATCAACCAATTGTCAATATATTGTACATTGTTTGCATCTGTGCGATCAATGGCACGTGATTTTTAACTGCATTGTGTATGATTTGTTACAATTCTCCAGATGCACCAACAAACTACTTTGAAGCCCAAAATAAGCTAATCAGTGGATATGATGTCACACTTTACCTACAAAAATCCTTTGTTGGAGAATAAAGATGGCGGACTACATAAAGTTGAATATCTAGAAAATGAAAAGAAATATAAAAAAAGTAAATTGCATTTGTGGAGATCTTTCATCTGGAAGAATTGTTTTAGCCTTGACTTCCCATTTAATCTGCACGACGTGATATCGAATCCATGGTTAAAAATACCCATAATCCAGGGTGTGTGTACATGTGTGTATTTTTTCAGAGACATTCTGCGCATGAAAAGGTTTTGAAGTCATCATTCTGCAAATCGATCGCATTCTGTGAAATAAATTTTATAACATCTATGCAATGTCTAGACTGAGACATTGTAAACATTGCTGCCGAATTACATCGTGATTCCAGGCCCAGTGTGGTGATCGCGAGATTGTCTGAGGCTGAACAAGTGTGTTTTTCGTAGTTTTTACCGGAGCTAATATCCAGGATGAAAATGGTGACGTTAAAATTCAGTTATCAAAGGTTCAGATTTTGTGCTCCAAATACGCGCTGCCAACCAAATAAAAATCTGTACAGTAATTTGCACACCAAGGGTTCGGGGGGGTGTATGTAAAGTTATGTACCACGCGTGCGCCACATAAGAATCAGGTAACAAACAGGCTAACAACTACCCGTGGCTTCTTCGTAACCGTCTTTTAACTGTCAGTATCCATTATGCTTAGGGCAGTGAGCACGGGACATAGAGTAGTATAACTTTATTAATCAAAAATGGTGTATTCGTAATGGATAATGAACACATTTATGAATTTAAAACCTGGGGAATGTGATTAAAAAAAATTGTGAATTGACATTTTAAAAATGACTTGTACAATACGCTCACTCCAAGTGAACGACTCTAAGAGTAACATTACAATATATAATTATATTATAAAAAGTAGATAGATTTCATAGTTGTATCAAAGTTTAGTCTATTGGATGGCATTAGAGATACTAAGTGAGCCAATGCAAATTGGATAAAAAGACACATTTATCTCTGGAAATATAGATGCCAGACCAATGTCCAACTGCACCAAGAATATACATTGATTGATACTATACAAGACAAGACATTGTTTAAGATGATAGATGTCAGAATGGCAACGACTGACATCGGACATACAAGTTAACTATACCTTGCCTTTTCATTTCATTACAGGTAAAGAAAAATATAAATAGTGTCAAAATGCACTGAAAATTCAAGTTAGAATAGAATAGAACACTTGACAATTCTTTTTTGGTTTCTACACATGTAAAAGGAAGTAACGCTAATCAATGCCAAGATAACTGGAGTTTAGGACGGATTTTTTTTATCTCAGCTGGATAATAATGACCAGCAGTACCAAATATTGTCAAATATTTTGAGTCGCTTATTTTGTGTTCTTTGAATCTTCAAAATTCAACCTATACGACTGCTCTTTAAGGTAGCAGGATAGTTTTTTGCATGAAAAATGTAAACACCTATTATCCGAATAAATTTTACGAGAAACCATACAATCTATATATGTTTGGAAAGCTCTTGACTTGTATTTTCCTATTATTAATATTTTGTGAACATTGTGTTTGTTTTAGCGTCACGTGATTCTGAAAATCAGCGGGGCTGATATTTACTAACGTGAATTAATTTTAATTGTCATCTCTACAGTCATTCATGCGATCAA